TATTTTCTAATCTACTTAGGCGAGCTAAAACGCACTCTGAATCATGCAGTACCAGGATATTTGAGAGAAAAATTCACTTCTGTAATTTTATTAAATTTAGAAAACTAAATAGTTCAACCCTAGTGCTCTCCATTTATATAGGGACCTATATCAGTCAATATCGATAGAAATATAAAATAAGATGAACAACTTTAGGCAGTAAAATTCTATATCAAAGGAAGAATAAAAAAGTAAAGAATTTCTGTCCTATTTGGTACTCTGCATCAATTACCATACACTTATTGATTAGAACGAAAGAAAAGATGCTATATTAAAAGCCAGTGTTAAGCATATTGTGGATAAAGATTTCATGCTAAGTAGAATATTATATTAGTTAGAGTTCTAATAATAAATAATTATATCCTATAATTAGAGGTCCAACTAGAATAAGAATAACTACTCTATATATATCTTTTTAAATGTAAACACAAACTTGGTTCATCCGCGCCTAAGCAGAGCCGAGCTAGATATGGTTCCAGTTTTTTTGGTCCTTTTTTGGCTCCCTTGGTGTAGATACGAAGTCTGTTTTTCATTACTGGGTATTTTTTCTTCTTATTTTTAACATTCTAATATGACAAAAACAAAAAAGATGAGTGCTACTAGTTTTGATAACTCTTTATTGCAAATCAGTTCCGTAAAACTTGATAGAACTAATTATCTTACTTTGTCAAAATCTTATTTATTGTTCATCAAATTTAGAGGATTGCAGAACTACATTACTAATGAGGTGAAGAAACCACATGTTGGTAGTTTAGAATATAATAGTTGGGACTCTGAGAGTTCATTGGTAATGTTATGACTCATAAATTCTATGCAACCCCATATTGTCATAACATATATGTTACATATTCACCTCACTACCGAAAAAATATAAAATGCAGCATTTCTTACATATTCACAGATGGGTAATGACGCCCAGATTTATGAACTCTATAATAAATTTCATGGCACAGAGTAATAAGATATGACTATTTCTCAATATTTTTCTGAACTGAACGAATTATGATAGAAATTAGATTACTATCAAAATTTTCAAGCAGAGTGTCCTGCAGATGCAGTCAAATTTCAGAAATTGATAAAAAGAGAGCGAATCCATAATTTTTTAGCTGGTCTGAACACCGAATATGATCAAATACGGATCCAAATGCTTGGTAAGGATCCATTTCCTTCATTAGAACAAACTTATGCTTATGTTCAACAAGAAAAGAGTAGAAGAAATGTCATGCTTCACATTGTACCAGTTGAAAATGCTGAATTAGTTGTTCAGTATTATCAACCCAGAAATATATGGAAGTGTGACTATTGTAGCAAGCCAAGACACACTGGGGAAACTTATTGGAAGTTGCATGAAAGACCAATTAGAGGTCGGGGATGAAGAAGAGGTGGAACCAAAAGAGTTCAAGCAAATTTTTTTGAACTTAGGAAAATATCTGGTTCACTATCCGTTTGAGTCTTTTCCACATAAGAAATTCAAACTCCGAAACGCTTTTTGAGTCAATTTAACTCTCCATCAACTGTTGACACATCAAATATGGTAAACTCAGATATTGCTCATCCTATTTCTACTCCTGATAATTGGATTATAGATTCTGAAGTTAACAGACACATGACAGACTCTTTTAAAGAATTCTTAACATATTTTTCTTGTACTAAAGGGAATAATGTTCGTATAGCAGATAGGTCATACACCCCCGTGTCAAGAACAGATTCCATTAATTGTACTTATACTATTACACTGTCTTCAGTTTTACATGTATCTAGTTTTTCTTACAATCTTTTATCTATTAGTGCTATAACTGGATATCTCAACTGTAAAATTGAATTTTTTCCTAATCATTGCATCTTTCAGGATCTTCAAACCGGGAAGAGAATTGACACTGGTAGACTGCAAGATGGCTTATATGTCTTGGATAGACATCTGAATTTAATTGAAAATCAAACAACTATTGGGAATAAATAAGTCAATATGGAGATACTACAATAGTACCGATTGAGACATCTTTCCTTTTTTATTTTAGAAAAATTATACACTAAGTTATTTAAAAGAACTTCTATGAATTGTTTGTTTTGTTATGCATGCGAACTTACTAAACATAAGAGAAGCTCTTATCATTTAAGTAATAATAGAAGTACTGATCCTTTTATAACTATTCACTCTTATGTGGAGGGGACCTACTTAGAATACCTTTTTTTTTATTATAGATGGTTTGTTACTTTTATTAGCTGTTGTACTAAATTAACATGAATTTATCTGTTTAAAACAAAATGTGATGTATTTTCATATTTTCAATCTTTCCGCAAAATGAAATGTACAGAATTTAGTGCTAAAATTAAAATTCTGCGAACTGACAATGGTAGAGAATATATGTATAATGGGTTCTGTGCCTACCTGGAATCAAATGGGATAATTCATCAGAAAAGTTGTGCCTACATCAGTGAACAAAATGGGGTTGCTGAAAGAAAAGACAGCCACATACTGGATGTAACTCGGTCATTAATGTTTACTATGAATCTACCAAAGAGTTACTGAAAAGATACAGTTCTCTCAGCTGTCTATCTTCTTAATAGAATGCTTTTGCGGATCTTGAATTTTAGAAGTCCTATAGAGGTTTTGTAAGGAAAAAATTCCTACATTGTTTCCCCAAAAGTGTTTGGATGTGTGTGCTTTATTCATACTAGACATGTGGGTAAGCTAGAACCTAGAGTACTTAAGTGTGTATTTGTTGAATATTCTTCTACCCAAAAAGACTATAAGTATTACCATCCACCATCTACAAAATACTTTATAACTATAAATGTTACCTTTAAGGAAAATGAGTCTTACTTTAACTCAAACCCAACACCTCTTTAGGGAGAGAGTGAGAAGGAAGAAGTGATACCTAATTGGGTAACAATTGAAAGTCATATCCAGGGAGAGAATTCTACTGCAGAAAGTCTCAATCAAGAAGATAATATTGGACGTTTAAATAAAACAGACTTGAAAAGATATTCAATGAGAGAAAAGTCTGAAAAACTCATCATGCAGTCTGTTCTAGGTCAAGAATCTTCTTTGGTTCCAGAAGATACTGATGAGTTGTTTTCCTCATGTAATTTATCAGATAAATCTATTACTATTAGAAAGGGAATGAGAACTTGCACTAAGCACCTTATATCTAATTTTATTTCCTATGACTCTCTATCTCACTCCCATAGAGTTTTTGTCTTGTCTATTTTCTCTGTGTTTATTCCACAAGATTGGAAATAAATTTTAAGAGATCTCAAGTAAAAAACAGTCATGATTGAAGAAATGAAAGCACTGACAAAGAATAAAACATAGGAACTTGTTTCACCTCCACGGGGAAAAAAGATAGTTAGTTACAAATAAGTGTTCACCATAAAACACAAAGCAAGCGGATCAATCGAAAGGTACAAAACTAGATTTGTGGCTAAAGGATTTCCTCAAACCTATGGGATTGACTATCAGGAGACATTTGTACCTGTTGCGAAGATGAACACAATTAGAATACTTTTGTCTTACGCAACTAACCTTAATTGGGACGTATAGCAGTTTGGTGTAAAAAATACATTCCTCTATGGAGACTTAAAGGAAGAGGTGTATATAGAAATTTCATCCGGATTTGAAGATAAGAGGACACAAGGAAAAATTTGCCAATTAAAAATGCCTTATCTGGATTAAAACAGTCTCCAAGAGCATGCTTTGAATAGTTTAGAAGAGTTATAATCTCTTTTCGATATTAACAAAACAATGCGGATCATACCTTGTTTATCAAACATCGTGAGGGTAAGGTCACTCTTATCATTAATTACATGAATGATATTGTGGTGATTAGAGATGACACAAAGGAGATGACCCAGTTGAAGGAACTTCTTATTCAAGAGTTTGAAATAAAAGATTTAGGAAAATTGCAATACTTCTTGGGGATTAAAGTTGTCAGATTCAATAAAGAAATATTCATTTCTCAAAGGAAGTATATCATAAACTTACAAAAAGAGACTAGTATGATGGATTGCAAGCCGACTGAATCACCTATTGAAAGCAACCACAAATTGCAAGTAAGTAGTGGTGCATCAGTTGACATGAGAAAATACCAGAAACTAGTTGGAAGACTCATTTATCTCTCACATACTAGACCTAATATAGTATATGCAGTTAGTCTTGTGAGCTAGTACATGCATGACTCTCATGAGACTCATTTACATGTTGTCTTCCACATATTACGATACCTGAAGTCTGCACCAGGAAAAGATCTACTCTTTTCTAAGCGTGGTCACCTTAAAATAGAAATATTTACAGATGTTAATTGGGCTGAGTCCCTCGGTGATAGAAGATCAACTACAGATTACTGCAAACTTGTAGGAGGCAACTTAGTCACATAAAAAAATAAGAAACAAAGTGTGGTTGTCCGCTCCAGTGCTGAGGCAAACTATAAAGCAATCCTTCAAGGAGTATGTGAATTATTATGATTGCAAAAACTAATGAGGGGGTTAAAACTGCTTAAAGACGAGAAACTATCCCTATTTTATGACAGTAAAGCAACAATTAACATTACTCATAATCCACTTCAACATGGCAGAAACAAACACATTAAAAATGATCGACACTTCATAAATGAGAAGGTGGTTGGTGGCTTTTTATATTTATATCATGTATTTTCTTACGATCAGGTGGTTGATATTTTCACTAAATGACTATGCAACAAATCTTTTCAGAACCTGATTTGTAAGTTGGGCATGTATGATATCTTTGCACCAACTTGAAGGGGAGTGTTGATAAGGATTTCATGCTAAGTAAAATACTATATTAGTTACAGTTCTAATAGTATAATTATATTATATAATTAGAGTTCAACTAGAATAAGGATAACCACTATATATATATCTTCTAAATGTAAATACAAAAAATAAGTAATAAAATTAGAAATTTATTTTCTCCAAAAACTTCAAATATTAAAAAAACTTACCGATGAGAAGTCAAAAATCTTGATGCGCCTGGAGACACCAGCAGTGGCAAAATATTCATCATCACGATCAAATTCAATGCTGCAATAAAATATAATTTCACAAAGTTTCAGCAGACATTATTATCCAAGAAGATAAAGAAAGTGTATTGAGAAGACACCAAGGGGTGCCACCCAGGCACAAAAAATAGAATATTACAAATTAGTAAAATATGTCTGAGTTCCCCCATATTCTCAAGAGGATATAGAGGATGACCCTTTGAACAAAACCAAAAGGGGTCTTGCACTCTCCAACAGAATATCACAGAATACCGAATAGATGCAAACTGAGTGTTTTGGGGGGAGGGGGGGAGGGTGGGTGTGTGTGTGCGTGTGAGAGAGAGAGAGAGAGAGAGAGAGAGAGAGAGAGAGAGAGTACATTAAAAGCCCAGATTTGTTTTTTGAAGGAATGAAAAGCCTAGGATATTCAGTCATGATTTGTCTAAACATACTAGCAGGAATAAGAGGAGACATAAACTTCTATAAGATTCTAAGGGGAATGAAGACCAACATTTGAATCGTATCTGAACAGAGATTTTCAATTTGAGAAGTCATTACTGACAATCCCTAATAAAGAAACTTGATAACTGAAAAAGAAGAGCAGGAAGGAAGGAAGAAATTGCTCCCTTCAGCTTCAGATGGTTTGTGGGTTCTTGAGCAGAAGAATCAGAAAACTAGTAGCTCCTAAAATTAACCCTTGCCTACAACTGCTCAGGGACAAAATGACATTGGGTATCTAACATGTTCTCAAGCATATACAACATGAAGCCAGTCAAATGCATCATCCCATATTTTCAAAGCCAAGTATCCACTCATATGAAAAAGAAAAAGCACCTTGACACTATGTTGGCCGAATGAAATAGATCCCCGTGCCGAAGTTCAGCGATAACCCTCAAACGACTGTTTCAGAAAATTAAGCAAAACAGATAAGCTAAAAGTAGACGAACACTCTACAAAAACACAGTTTAGTAGTTCTTCTCTGAAACACAAAAATTAGAAACTCAACCTGTAACGAGTGAAAGTAGTCAGCACAGACTGAAAATCTGCAAGACCTTTACTATAACCATCCCTGTGTATGACATTTTTATCACTTTCTAGCTTATTATGTGGTTCGTTTGCCAACTGGCGTCTCTTTTGCAGGTAACACTCTTGTAGATCATTAAACTGGAAGGCAAAATAATCTTAACCCAGTCAGCCAATGAATCCATAATATTTGATGCTATCAAAAAATCCTGAAGATAAATTTTCTCACAAGTTGCAGAGACAAAAAGATTGATATACACAATCACCAGTGTTTAACATAACATTCCATGAGCTCAACAAGATTAACAAATTGCTTCATTTTCCAAAAGTCAAGGTAAACAGAGCCAATCAGAAGGTCTTGTTATTCTCCACTAGACAATATTAAAGCTCTCCAAATAATTATAATAATTGTTATCATGCATAACTTCCCATGATAAAACCAAGAAGAAGATAATACTTCCATGCGGAAACCAGCCTCAACATGCAACTGTCCCTTTGAAGACATTGAGGTATCCAAAGCATTCATTTGCACTCCACCTAGGGCCTCGGGAGTCAAACCATGTACAAAAAGGCTTAAATAGATAACTGCCGATTTTACTATTCAGGTTTTGTTCAAAGAAGTCTTCGTACTATATTTGCGTTTGAATTGACTCTGTACATATTGCAATTTACTCAAATCCCTCAATTAACAGTCAACTTAACATGCATTAGTCAGCTGTCACATCATCCTTTGTTTAAATGCCACATCACTATATCTTTGCCCAAGTCACCGAAAAACCAGGTTCTCCCTTCTTCTTGGCAATTTTCCATGGCCGTTCGTGGGTCTCTTTCCTCTGCCACAACCATGAGGAGCCATGGAAAATTGCCAAGAGAGAGATAGAGAACCTGGTTTTGGTGACTTGGACAATGATGTGATGTCATCACGATTGACTAACCAATGACATGGTGATTGACTAACAGACTTTAAGTTAGTTGATAATTGAAGGGCTTATTTGAACAAATTGCAATTGTACAAAGTCAATTTGAGTGTGAATATAGAAAGCGAGCTTATTTGAACAAAAGTTAAATGTAGAGAGGGCATTACCTATTTAAGCATGTAAACAAATACCATGTTACCAGAATAGTTCCTTCACATGACACCAAAAGATTGCATGACAGCAAAAATGTTCACATGTAAATGTCTGAATAATCAGGAAAGAGGACATGATTTGTAGTTGTTCCAAAGCCAAATACAGTGTGAAACAGCGAGATTAATAAGCAAAATAGAACAATGAAAATTAAGTTTACTTCTTCACTCACATTATCATTGAAATTCTCAAATTTTTCTGACATTATAGGGAACAGTTACGTATCATAAAGATGATCGAAGGCCAAAAACCAAAAATGAAACATGTTAAATCACAAACCTGTGCATGGACCCGCTTTTTCCTTGCCACAGAAAGAGTTGATTGATTAAAGCATTGGGAATCTGACCCACTCAAAGTATTCTTTCTCTGCATTCCATGACTATCAGAGCTTAGTTGACCCCTGCCTTCCAACTTTTTGTTCTGATAACTTCCAGCAGACATCCCTCCCCTTGCATTAAGAGAACCAGAGATAAGACCACTGCTGCTCTTATCTAATAATGGCAATGGCCATTGCTTTCTTGTACTAGAGTCATCCCCAAGCATCCTCAACTTCACAGAATACCTGTCCCTTGCACGATATAACTCTATTCTATGTCTCTCAACAACACTTATGTCCTCTTTAATGTATTGGAGATCATTTTGAACCTGAAAAGATTTGGAGGAAGATCATTAGAAGAACCAATTATCACACACATTAATTATTCTAACTGCTACAGTGAATATTCCATGTGATGTGAGCAAAGCGCTTAAATTACAGATACAAATTTGCAGACCAAAGTCAACAATCCCATGAATCCTGCCTGAAATATTTAACAGAAGAAAGTACAGCATGCCACATTGGCCACCAGATGCCACGATAAATTCTATGTATTGGAGATAAGACCATATCAATTATTACATGTTAAAGAAAAAGAAAGAGTTCAAAAGATAGTGAGAAAACAAGTGAAGTAAGAAATCGAAAATTAATCAGCCACGAATCTATAAGTGCCAACCCTGGCTACCAACCTCATTAAGTTCATCAACTTTTTGCTTCCGTAAACAATGCAAGAAGTCTAGTAGGATTTGCATATTTCTTTCAGCTTCTTCTTGCTCCACTTTCCTCTTCTTCTCTGCAAGTAGCGTCAAGAGGTGGTCCATCTCCTTAATTGACACATCACAACCCTGCATGAGAATCAAGAGACCATGTCATCCTTAAAAAAGAAACATCACATTCATTGTAAGTTAACAATATAGTTTCATAACAGCAGGATAGAGATGGTGAAACTCAGAAATATGATAATTTACTTATACTTCTCAAGTTAAGAAGTTCATCAATAATATTAGTAAATAAAATGTGCCCAGAAAGGAAAGCAAAAATATAAATAACAAGGCTTTATGAGAAAAGAGATCAAAATTGGTTAACAAACTAAACCAAATGCCCAAACCACACCAATGGTATGCGAATTCACTTAGATGTATCACTAAGATAAACTGGTTTGCTGATAACTGACCTGTTGTAATGCCTGACGAAATTGCTCCACAGGGGATGCAGTTTTTGATACTTGGCGAGCAGAAGTCTTCTTCAATAGCTACAAATGTGGTACAGACAAATCGTATAACAATAAGCTGCATTGCCAGTAGATAATTTCAACATACCAATTATGTTCAAGCAATGGTTAAACTATAAAAAATATCAATTTAACCATAAAAGTACAATTTTACTCCAAAAGGGAAAAATTACAAGATAGAAAAATTTTTACTTTCAATTCACTCAACACTGTCAAGCACATCCTATTATAAATCTTTAGCAACACCCTCTCCTTGAAAGTTGAAACATATATTGCCCCAAGCTAATAGACTTATTATAATAAAAAGAAAATGTAAACAATTTCATAGCATGCAATAACACTTCTCTTCACATTTGGTTGAAAATAAAGAAAATTATATAAACAATGAAAAAATAGCCACATTACTAAGATTTATGGAAATAGTAGAGGGTTGGTGACAGAAAAATCAAAAAGGGGGTGAGAGGTCTCATTCTTTGCTTGTGGCAGACACTCAGTCCTACTTCTTACTATTTAAGCTTAGTTTTGGAGACATGACTGAAGATATCTCCATACTTAGACAACATAGATAAACAATATCAGGGACACTAAAAACCAATTGAATCGAACATATAACCATAATCATTAACACATTCTTACTAGTCTTACAGCTTAAACTAACCATGCACAGCCAGGTTACAGAGACACCTTTTTTTATAGAAAAAATAATATATATTCCCAAGCACGAAGAGGATGTAGACCTGTATATAGAATAATTACAAGTCAATTAAAATATCAATAAGGTCACCTAATTCCCCGCACAAATAAAAAGGAAGACTCCTAATCAAAAGATCTAGGATCTAGAACCAAGTATCTGCAAGTCTATCAAAACCTACCTCTGTACCCTCAAATGCTCTTCTGTTCTTTTCATTCCGTATGACTCAAAAAGTAGCCAAATGGATAAGACTTGATCACTTATCCTTACGCATTCCACCCCAAACCCGCATCTCATCTTTCACTTCCCTTGCCATTACTCAATTAACCCCAAGAGACCATAAGCCATAAGCCATGGCCGATATACAGAAGAGCCCCACAAAAGGATATGGTTGCACAATTCTACATCTCTCTTACACAAATAGCATCCATTAATCAAGACTTACCCCTCCTTATCAATTTATCCCGGGTTAAGATGCATTCCCTTGCTGCTTTCCATGCAAAAATAGTCACCATAAGCGAGGCATTGGCTTTCCAAATCAGTTTAAATTTTCTCATAAGTTTTCCCACTCTTTTGGCTAAGTGGGAGTTGAAATATTTTATGGAGAATGTCCCTTTTGAGCTTAGAACCCAAACCACTTCACCCTTGTCCCCGTTAAGAACTCTCTTAGATAGCAATTGGAGAAGCGTCATACTCATTAACCTCCCAGTCATTGAGATTCTTTGTCACCTTGATTAGCCACGTACCACTCTCCAACAAGTCCTGTAAAGAATCCCTAACAGAAACCTCTTTGCTACGGGCGATAGCATAAATCAATGGAATTGATTCATAAGAAATCTTCCATCCATCCACTCGTCTTGCCAAAAGATAACTCTTTCTCTTGGTTCCACCTCCCATTTAATGCATTTCTGGAAGTCATTCCTTCTCATACAAACTCTTTTTCACATCCCAACCCCAGAAGGACTGTCTAGCATCAAATTGGACTTAACCAAGATTTGGCATCGGCAACAGAAATTACAACTCAAAACAGTTAAATAAGGTATCTATTTTAATAACCCCAAGCCTTTGATTAAGAAGAAAATATTGCTGGCAATGATTAAGGTCAATAATGACCCAAAAAATTTCCTCCCGGCGAAAAAAAATGATCAACATAAAACAAGATTAATCCATATAATGACGGAAGGTAACTTAAAAAATGAAATTAAAGCTTACTTGTTAACACAAGAAACCTTTAAGTACAGGTGAAATTAAAATAGAAACATGTTTCATTCAATTTACTCAGTAATCATGATGAAACTCAATTCTAATCCTAATCTGAAACACTCACAATCGGCTACGCCGATATACGCGCATGCATACAAACAAATACTCCAAATAATCTCGAATATCAAACGAAAAATTGAGAAGCTTAAAAAAAGCAAGCTAAGAAACCTTGTCCAGCAAGAAGTTAGGGAACAGCTGATTGTTAGTCAGGTAATTGCCACAACAGGGGCAATCACTCTTGTTGCGTAGGTGCGTGATGACGCACATGTAGCAGAAGCTGTGGCCACACGCCGTGAGGAATGCGTCCTTTATAATCTGCATGCAAATCGGGCATAGTAAATCCTTATCCAGCTCACCAACTCCGACATCGACCTCGGCAGAAAATGATGCCGCGCCGCCGGGCTCCGGCGGAGCGTCGGCGGAGGAGGGTTTTAATTCGGGCTTCACAGCTGGAACAAGTGGCTCAGTCGATACTTCTTCCATCTCTTGGTTGTTTTCGTCTTCCTTCTGGTTCCGGGGTGCGAATAGCCCTGCAGTTTTAGCCTTATGCATAAGCGTGTGGTTAGTGTGATTTTGTGAGGGTTGAGAGAATGGAGATGCACTTTGTCGCACCACGGCACAGCGACAAAAGTTGTGGCGTGGGCCCCATGGCTCTGTTTGTGAGGGTGAAAATGGCCCACGTGAGCGCGCAAGGGGATGCGGGTCGGGTGTTTAGGGGGGCGTGGAATAAGGCGGGTCGGGTCAAGGTACGGAGAAACGAAAATGTTCCACCAGTATTTTGAGTTTTTTTGGAAATTATTATTTTTATTTTGTTACGTTAAAGAGATAAACCAAATATATTCCAATAAATATTACTATTATTTTATAAAAAATAATGTGAAAATATTTGGATTTTAATATAAATACTCTTAAAAAATATCCGAAAATTTTGACAGAAGTATTCTAATATTTCATACATTCAAATTTTAAATAATCCTTGTTGTCAAACAAAAATAATAAAAAATAAAATAATTTAGGGCGTATAAAATGTTTTATCATCTTTTCCTTCGGTTAACATTTAGACAAAACACACACAGGCACTACATTAGCACTGTATTTGGAAGCTTCGACATAAATATAATAAATATTATAATATAATATCTTATTAGCTTTTATTTGTGCAATCACTGACATATGTTAATTAATTAAATTTTAATTTTAATAAATTAATTATTATAAATCAACCATTATCAATTTATATTATACTAAAAAAGAATAACAAATTATAAATCACTAATTAAGTTAAAACACGTTATATTTAAATATATTAATACTTTTTAACTTTTTTTTAAAATAGATAGTTTAAACAACTAATAGTTTAAAATATTTTTATATTTTTATATAAAAATTTTGTGATCAACATGTAACCGTTTAATATATAAATATTTCAATAATACAACAAAAAAGTCACATATAAAATTTTGTTAAAATAAAAAATTTAATTATCAATATAAATAATAAAATAAAATTCATAATTATTTAATATATTGTGTTAAAAATTAATTATCATATATATGTATGTTAATTATGGCTATAAGAGAGACACATTTATTAACAATAGATTAATGTATAATAAAAAATTAAAAATAACTAATGAGATAAATATATAAATTTATCTATACGTAAAATATTTAAATAAAAAAGATAAATGATAAAAGAATTGTATAATACATACTAGTAAATTATTAAATATAATTTATATATTAGATTTACATATAGGTTTTCCTTATATTTAGATTGGGATTAAGATTAACTGGATAAAAAGAAGTAATTTCCGATAAATAATAAATATATATATATAAAATAAAAAAAGAAGCCCCAAAATTCTGTGTTAACGGACCTAACCACGGTTTGTTAAGCCAAGCTATAACCTAACCATGGTTAGAAATTAGGGCTGGGAGTACACACTAAAAAAACAATTAAGTGCCAGTGCCACTCCCATCCTGAAATTCGGAAACCGAAAAGAATAAAGTACCCCCCCACAATATCCTCCTTCCTTCACGCAAACCGAACGTCTCCTTCTTCGTCTTCTTTTTCATTTCTTCGGGCAGTCTGATCTGCCACTTCTGTCTCTTATTCTCCGTCTTCAGGTGCTCTTCCCTTTCTTTACGCTTTTAATTCTTTGTTATTCCAAAAACTAATTGATTTTCATGTTTTCTTTAGTTCTATTATTGTTTTATTTCGGTTAATTCTGGATTATCACCACTCTGGTATGATATCGGAAGACTTTGATGATTCTTAGCTTTTTTGTAACGTTAGATTATTATCGGTATTGATTTAGGTTGTCTAGTTAGCTGCTAAATTTTGCACTGGTTCATGATCGGTCTGTCTTTTGATTGCCTAGCCGATTGAGTTATTTCTTATTTTCTTTCATGATAATTCGATTTCTGGTGTTGCTTTTATTTCAACGCATTCGAGGCTGCAATCTTATTGAACGAATTATGGAAGTCTAAACGGTTTAGCCGATAACATATTCGGTCTCTGTATGTAATTTGCTCTCAAGTTTAATTCATGTCAAAGTATTTATATCGCTGATATAACTTCATGTTTTGCTTCCTCGTACAAAATTGAATCGGTAACTTCGACTTTGTTTGGTCTATGAAATTATTTTATAGTTTTCTTTTTAAAATTATATTTTTATTTATGAAAGTAGCTAGGTTCAGTATTTATGAAATAATTAAGCACAAAGAAAAATGGTTTAATAAAAAAATAATACTTTATTTGTTGAACTCTATCCTTATTTTTATTTTACCCTCATCATTATCAACTACTTTTTATAGCTTCGTTAGTGAAATACAAAAAAAATGGTTGATTAATGCATTTTAGAGTTTCATCCATGGCATGCACATTCTTGATACAAGTTCATAAGTAGGATTGATCTTGTTCTGGCTTTTTAACTTGTAGGAACTTTTCTATATTGTTGATTCCTTGAAGCATTTAGTTGTATATGATTTTCTTTTTGTTTCTCTTTTATTTTATGGCAACAGGGATTCGTTATGGTTAACTAATTTTTAACTATTAGTTATTAAATGTTTTACATCAAGTTTTAGATTATCCGTGCTCTTTTAAGTATCTCATTCTTTGTCCATAGTTTTATTATCTTGTAGAATCTGAAGTGTGTTTGTATCTGTGTCTCTGGGTCATCTCTGGATGTAATATTGCTTGTGTTGTATTGCCCTAGGTTCCAAAGTACTTCAACAGCACGATGGCTGATGCCCACGACACTGACAAGAATATTGAGATATGGAAAATTAAGAAGCTGATTAAGGCCCTTGAAGCTGCTCGAGGTAATGGGACCAGCATGATCTCTCTGATTGTACCTCCTCGGGACCAGATCTCTCGGATTACCAAGATGCTCGGTGATGAATTTGGAACTGCTTCGAACATCAAAAGCAGGGTCAATCGCCAGTCCGTGTTGGGGGCGATCACTTCTGCTCAGCAAAGACTTAAGCTTTATAACAAGGTTCCTCCCAATGGGCTTGTCCTTTATACTGGGACTATTGTAAATGAAGATGGGAAGGAAAAGAAGGTAACAATTGACTTTGAGCCTTTCAGGCCAATTAATGCATCTCTTTACCTATGCGACAACAAGTTCCACACAGAAGCACTGAATGAGCTTTTGGAATCTGATGACAAGTTCGGCTTTATTGTCATGGATGGAAATGGGACTCTTTTTGGAACTCTAAGCGGTAACACTCGAGAGGTGCTCCATAAGTTTACTGTTGATCTCCCAAAGAAGCATGGCAGAGGAGGGCAATCAGCTCTTCGATTTGCTCGTCTTCGAATGGAGAAGCGCCATAACTATGTGAGAAAGACAGCAGAACTTGCTACACAGTTTTTTATCAATCCCTCGACCAGCCAACCTAATGTTTCTGGACTAATTCTTGCTGGATCAGCAGACTTCAAGACTGAACTGAGTCAGTCTGATATGTTTGATCCCCGACTTCAAGCTAAAATTCTCAACGTAGTTGATGTTTCTTATGGAGGGGAGAATGGATTTAATCAGGCAATTGAACTTTCATCAGAAATCCTGTCAAATGTAAAATTCATACAGGAGAAACGCTTGATAGGAAACTATTTCGAGGAGATAAGCCAGGACACTGGGAAGTATGTATTTGGTGTAGATGACACATTGAAGGCATTAGAGATGGGCGCTGTTGAGACACTTATCGTGTGGGAAAATCTGGATATAACTAGATATGTACTGAAAAATAGCATCACCGAAGAGATTGTGATAAAACACCTGAACAAGGAGCAAGAGGTTAATCAGGACAACTTTAAGGATTCCGCAAGCTCAGCACGACTGGATGTTGAGGAAAATATGTCCCTGTTAGAGTGGTTGGCCAATGAATATAGGCGGTTTGGATGCACCCTTGAGTTCGTCACCAACAAATCGCAGGAGGGTTCCCAGTTCTGCAGGGGTTTTGGTGGGATTGGGGGCATCCTGCGGTATCAGCTTGACATGAGGACATTTGATGAGCTTTCAGATAGAGAATTTGGTGAAGATTCTGAATAGCAATCAATCAACTTTACCCCATCACTGGTGCAGGACGAACAGGATGGTGGGGTAAAAGCCCTGCACCAAAACGCTTGGGCTGTCGCGCTTGCAGTTGCTGCTCACTGTGTTCAAAAAGATTCTTCAGTCATCCCTTTTCCTTTTGAGGTTGTGATATAAAAAAACTATTTGACTCATGATCATTTTTGTTTGTTGAGATTATTCGAAGTTAATTTTTATTTCTTCTTGCATTTCTGTCACTCAAAAGTTTTCTTTGTTTCTGAGCTCACAGGGCGCACTTGTGGTAAACCCTGAAGGACTTTGGGAGAGAGCGGCTTGGAAAGGAATAGCAGCCATACATCCTAAGCTTGCTGGATAAGTTGAAACTTGTGCTATTTGGAAGTCGTCTAGCAGGATGCGTGGATAGAAGTACTCTGTGCATATTTTTTTATGCACCAGCTCTTGGTTTGGTTAGTATTTATATTCGTGTTGCTGTTCTAAAAGTAATGTTTGCCTGGATAAGACTTCTGCATGTCTTGCCAAATGTACTGGCTATTTTATTACCTTATGGGTTGTATTGCTATAGCAGTCTATAATTACTAGTTGTGGACCTTCATGATTATGGGAAATAAGAATTTAATAAGTGAAGTTAACTGTTAGACATTTAAAAATTATAAATTATATCCTTAATTTGGATAGTTTAATAAAAATAATGAGAAGTTTGCTATCGTACTTTTTCTATTCTCTCAGGATAAAACTTCCGAAACGTTTTCCCCAGGTGTAACCTTTTTTTTTTTTTTAATTACTGTTCCTCTTCTTTTTCTTTATTTCTAATTTTCTTAGTTTTATAATTTAATCTTATTTTACTTTTTATTCTTTATGCTCACAATTTTACAGTCTCCACTTGTATATTTTATTTACACATTTTCTTATATAAAAAATTTGGAAAATATATTATCATAAAAACTTTGGAAATAAGATATGCTATTTTATTTCTTTGTGCTCACAGAAAACTGAGAGAATGTTTGTTATGTGCACTACGATTTGGACTCTGTTAATTTATATTGAGAAAATTTTAAGACAATCAATATTTTTTTGATAATATTTTTGTGCCCTAATGTTGTACCTTCTGGATTAGTAATTATTTTTGCTTAAAGGTTTATAATTAAAAATTAAAATTTTTGAACAATATATCTATATCTATGTATTGATAAAATAATATCTGGGAGAGAGAGTTAGAAGAATTTCGGGTAAGCTTAAAAATTAAAGAAATGAATATTAAAAATAAAAAATAAACTAAAATATCAACAATTATAAAGTTATAAAAATTTAATTAAAGATTATTAACTTTTTACAATTAAATAATAAAATACACAAGTTTAAATTAGTCAGCATAGTTGTCAAATATCATTTTAAAATTTAAAATCCATAACTTTATTTTATCAACCTGAATTAATTTATCTCAAAACAATTTAGCAATGGAATCTTCATTTTAAAATCTCTTCTTATTTTAGATGATATAATTAAACTACTTTGATTTATATATAAACAAGTGCAATTTAAAGATACCATTTAAAATAATATTAGTGCGTATACATAATTTTTATTTGAAAAATATGTTAGTTCCTAAACAATCAGTAAAATTTAAAAAAAAATGTAAATTGTATTCTTAATATTATGAAAAATTTATGATACATATTTCCTAAATTTTTTTCTGAAAATAAAAAATAAAATACTTTTTAAATAAAATTATATAAATGTTTGATATGTTTTGTTGTATTTAATTTATATAAATCAGTATTAGTACAATGCACGAATTCATCGGAGCTCCACTTTTTGTAAAATTTGTTTGATGACTTAAATACACTTCAGAGACAAATATATACTTTCCAACATTAGATCTAACTCTTTAAATACAGTAATGTTGAATACATTTTTATTTATAATTGTAAGGATTTTAACGTTTTAGTTAAAAAAAAATTACTAAGAGGTATCATCTTTATAATCATTATAAATTTTAAACTATATTTTTTTCAAAAATTTTGGATCACATCAAAGCATTCATTTTCTACTTCCAAAACTTCTCAAGTTTCATATTTCTCTTCATATATGTTGTTTAAAGTTTTCTACTTCAACTAAGCATTAAGAAACAAAAATTTCATACTTTTTAAAAGCTCAATTTTCAAAATATGTTAATTAAAAAAATTAAAAAAGTTGTTACAAAAGAAGAAAAAAAAAATAAAGATATGTTAAAAATATAAAAGTTATAATATTGTTAAATCAGTAACTAAACATCTTTTTTTCAAAAAATATAAAATAATATTTAAAAAATCCAACTTTTCAAAAAGTACACCTTTATGATTTGATGTTCTTAAGTTCATATTATATATATATATATATTTATTTTTTCACTCGCATGAGTTAATCAGAAGTATTGAACATATTATACTTTATCCTACTTAGTTGTATAATAGCACGTAAAGAATATTTAGAAAGGATTTCTTGTGTTCCTGAAGTCAAACAAATTAACATCTCAAATTAATAATATTATGAAGCTTTTCCGATTGCAATTCAAATATAAAATTTTTGGAATCTATATCTGGTGTAACCATTCCTCCGAAAATAAACCTCCAACAATTCCAAGGGAACTGATAATGCTACTAATCTTTTTTATTTTTACTATAATCAATTGGAGGATATGATTTAAACTCTACACTGAAAAAAATTATATCATCTAATCTTTATCAATCTTTTTGTATAAAAAATATATTTGTTTTATGTATAAAAAATATTAATTAATATTTATAAGCATTCATTTAGGTCCAGGGTTGATCAACATTTTTGCTTACCAATCCAGGCCTAAAACTTTGCAGGAGCTACTGTACCAATTAGCTAAGCACTGAAAGTGCAAACTATATAATCAAAGCAATTTGATACAATAGGCAGAGAGAAAATAGTCTAAGAGATGAATCCCCTGAAAGCCAAGCAGCAAATAGTATTATACCATGTCTTAAAATCATGGTGATCCGCAAACTAAAAATACCAACAGGTTTAGACTAGTAACACAACCAGCAAGGTAATAAAAGAGCCTGTGCAAATAGCAAGATATGCATGGTAACTAAAATCGCAATTGTTTTTAGAACAACCATGCAGTCACACGATACTAACCACAAGCCACAGCATACACAAACGTGCGCATCAAATCTTTTTATCTATCCAGCAAGATGACTTCCAAATAGCAGAAGCTTCAACTTCTCCAGCAATCTTAGGATATGCAGCTGCTATTCGGGGTAACTTCCCTTTCCAAGCCACTCCTTCCCAAAGTTCATCAGGGTTGACCACAATAGCAACCTGCAATCTCAGGAACAATGTAAAATTTTAGTGATAGATAAATGTGAGGAGGAATAAATATTAACAAAATATAACTTCAAGAAACCTCAAAAAACAAAAATGTTTGTGAATCAAAAATGGGGTTTTAGATCAGAACCTCAAAAGGAAAAGAAATGATTGGAGAATATTCTTGAGCACAGTAAGCAGCAAGTGCAAGTGCAGCAGCACGCATGCTCTGGTGCAGGGCTTTTACCCCATCACCCTGTTCATCCTGCATCAGTGATGGGGTACAGTTGATTGATTGCTATTCAGAATCTTCATCAAATTCTCCATCTGAAAGTTCATCAAATGTCCTCATGTCAAGCTGATACCGCAGGATGCCCCCAATCCCACCAAAACCCCTGCAGAACTGGGAACCCTCCTGCGATTTGTTGGTGACAAACTCAAGCGTGCATCCAAACCGCCTATATTCATTGGCCAACCACTCTAACAGGGACATATTTTCCTGAACCTCCAATTGTGCTGAGTTTGCCGAATCCTTAAAGTTTTCCTGATTAGCCTCCTGCTCCTTGTTCAGGTACTTTATCACAATCTCTTCAGTGATGCTATTTTTCAGTACATATCTAGTTATATCTAGATTTTCCCACACGATAAGTGTCTCAACAGCACCCATCTCTAA